CCCCCCCCCCCGCCCCCCCCCCGCCGATACTCACCTGGGGCCAGGAGGAGCAGCGGGAGGAGCGGAGAGTTCATGGTGCACGAGGAGGGGACAGCGAAGGACTCTCGAGGGAAGCTCAGGGCTTGGGAACACGGTGGCTGTGGGCGCCCTGGGGGCCGCTACTTCAGCCCAGAGCCCGGAGAGGCGATTTGCATAAGGAGGGAGTGCCCGGAGGAGGGGCGATAAAGAGCAGATGAAAAGGCCCCTCTGCCTCCCGGTGCTGTCCCTGGACTGACTTTGTGTGTCACACACACACACACACACACATACACACACACACAGACTTTGTTCCTTTCGTGCAAAGGAGGAAAACACAAAACCCCTCAGTGAATTAAATTGTCTCACCCCGCTGCTGCCTGTCTCATTTGTTTCTGGGGTCCAAGTCATTCATGTAAACAAAGCAGGTGCCGAAGAAATCGAATTTTGGGCCCTGGAACTCCAGATATTCCGCACCCAACCCTGTTCCACATCCCCAGACAGTTATGCCTTATGAGTCCCAAACTCAACCGTTATTGACTGTTGACGTCTGCTTATTACTTATCGATTATTAATTGGAAGCTCAGGTCGGTAGCTAGGTAGGCGGTTTGGTGTCTCTATTGCCTTATTAAGGGGGAAATTCAAGTTAAGATCCCGAGAGATCTGGCAAATCTTGGTCTGATATTCCCAAGGACAAGGGGCTCTGTTTCTGGAGGGTTTTTGGCAGCTGCTTTTTTGGGTTTGTGACCATTTAAATGGGCTCCGAGCGCGTTCATTGCATTCATTGGAGGTGGTTCAGGTTGGATGGGCGGAGAAGGGGTGTAACCTTGAACTGGCACCGGTATCTGGGCTCCAGCCCCTGACCTGACACCCCCATTTTGAAAGTGACGTCAATAAATGGGTTTTCCATCTTCTTACTCAAACGTGACACTTTGCTGCCCTCTTGTGGCTCTGTCCGATTGGTGCGCATGGGAACTATTTCCCTCTCTTTTTCCTTGACAACATAAGCTACCAAATCAAAAGGTCATTTGGCTGCACATCCAGTAATTTGATCTATGCCAGCAAATGCCAGCAATGCCCCGCTGCTCTATATATTGGACAAACTGGATGGTCCCTACAGCAAAGAATCAATGGACAAAAATCAGATATATGTAAAGGGAACATAGGGAAACCTGTTGGGGAACATGTCAACTGGCAGCATATTATGAGTTGGATCCCTGGCTCCGCCCCTTGACACCAGCTGAAACTCCGCAGGAACAAGTGACCGCGGCTCCCATTGACCCGGGACCCCGTACCTGCAGACGTGCAGGTAAATATGGAGGTGTGGGGACTGTGCGGGGGCTAACCCTGGTGGACCAGATCCCACCCGCCAGTATTTGCCTAAAGGCATCGGGATTCCACTTACTATATTTCGAGAGCCTCGATTTCCTTCCTATCTAGATGAAGGATGTGATGTAGTTGAGGGAGGGGCTGTCTGCTCTGTGATGTGGTCCCCCTGCTCTGTGATGGGAGATTCTCACTGACTCTCCCAGGTGTGTATTGAACCAGACACCCAGGCTCAGTCTCCCAGGGAGAGACGAAGGAAAGAGGGTGGAGACCAGCACCTTGCTGGGGGGCAGAGCTGGAAGAGAGTTTTGAGTTTCTGCCCCGTATCATGGAGGAGGCAGCCTAAGCAAGGGGCTGGAATTTAGGGGCCCAGTCTCCCGCATCCAAAGGGGGGCTGAGTCATCCTAGGCCTGTCCTGTAACAAGATTACATCTATCCTGTGCTGTATCCTGGAGAAGCAATAAACTCCCTCTATTCTACCGGCTGGTGGAGTCTGTTCGTGCCACTAGGGGGGTGCAGGAGACGGGAAAACCCCAACACAGCCCTCTCAGTCTCCGTGTGGGAGGGGAAGACTCTGGGTTCAGCTCTCTCTGCTACCTTGTTCAGAATCCGCTTCCCCTTTTTCTGCCAGACCCTGCTTCGCTCCGTGTCACTGTGTCTCTGGCACAGAAATACATGGCGGTGTCTGCAGCTGTCAGCGAGCTGAGCAGCAGATAATACTTGGTGCTGGAAGAATCCACGGTGATGGTGATGCGGCCTTGCAGGGACGGGTTGTAGCTTGTGCTCCCACCTGGGAAAAGCAGGGATCGGTCAGACTCCAACCCACCTGCCCCTCCCCCACTCCACGCCCCCCCCCGCCGAGACTCACCCGGGACCAGGGCCAGGAGGAGCAGCGGGAGGAGCGGGGAGTTCATGGTGCGCAAGGAGGAGACAGAGAAGGGCTCGCGAGGGGCAGCTCAGCGCCTGAGAAGGGGACACGGTGGTTTTGGGCGCCCCTGGGGCCGCTACTTCAGCCCAGAGCTCGGAGCGGGGATTTGCATAAGGAGGGGGCGCCCGGGGGAGGGGTG